TAAGCTAAAGGCTAACTAACAGCATTTTTTTCCATTCACCTTGCCGACCAGGAGCTCTTTACTGACGGCTCTGCAGCGATACCGACGGCCCCCTCCCACTGATACCGGAGTAACGGACTACGGTCAGTTTGTTCACGGTTTAACTTCAGCCGCTGCGGCGGAGAAAATAAATGAGTCCGCACCGTGCAGCACCAGCGGCCATTAGCTTAGCGTCATCCACAGACGACAGAGCGGAGCGGGAGAAGGGGAGGAGTCAGACCGAGCTGGAAGACAGGGAGGGCTGATCTGAGATCAGTTCATTCAGCAGGACAGCAGCCAAAGGTCAGTGGACAAAATCTGATCTACGATCAGTTATTTTATTAAATTAAATTAAATTAAATTAAATTTTATTATATTTAGGCTTTGCTTAAACTTACTTGAGTAACCTTTTTGAATGTTTTTTTATTTTTATCAGTATATTTACTACGCTGTATATTTTATTTTACTTGAGTATAATTTCATTATGAACAGAGGTGAGCAGAGTACTCAAAGATTATACTGAAGTAAGAGTAGTACTACTTCAACATATTTGTACTCAAGTAAACGTAAAAAGTAGCCGTCCAAAACTAAATCACTCAAGTAAGTCACAAAGTATTTTGCATTTTTAAGTAATTTAATATTTAAAAATTACATAATGAGGCTGACCAAAATATAAAATTAAATGGAAAATTTGTTATTTTAAAGATGTTTTTGTAGGTAACAAAACATAACAAAATATGGTAAAAAAAAAAAATTCCAAATCAGTTTCAAAAAATTGATTTGGAAAAATGTTTCTTTTGGCATATTTTGTAATGTATAAATTATTTTCATTTTGGTTTTATAAAAATATCAAAATTTCCACATAATTTTATATTTTGATCTAACATTGATTTATGTTTTGATCAGTTACTCAGTACCTAAGTAGCCTTTTTACCAAATAAGTTTTTTTCCTCTTACTTGAGTAATTTATTGGATGTCTATCTTTTACTTTTACTTGAGTAAAAACATGTTGAAGTAGTTCTCCCCTGATTATATTTAATATTATTATTACACTATGTACTTTTAAGAGTAGTTGTAAGGTACTTTTTTACCTTCTTTTTACTTGTATTTGCTTAATGAAGTTCCCACAATAAACAGAATTGAACTGTAACAAAGTTGTTATAGATATGAACATCAAAATATTCAATATCCACCATTCAATTTGGACAAAAGAGATTTGTTTAAAGTAACTGTAAAAACTAAACAGTACTTTAAACCACTTTGTTTAATACAACTGAACAGTATAATAGTGGTAACTATTTTGCAATATTTTTTTTAAATTCACATTTAAGGAATCTTTAGAATTGCTGCTTCTCTTATTTTCTGCCACTAGGTGGCAGTAACGACTTTAAACAAAAAGTAAACGTTTTAAATTCCACCCAGAGATTAAATTTGTCTATGATTTCGAAATATTTCAAACCTTTGAGACAAACTGGGGGAATGATGAATTATAGTACAATCAATATATAAAGTAAGGGATGAAATAAAACATTTTTTCCTAAGAATCCTGCAAAATGGAACCATTAAAACCTCTTGAGGTTAGCTCCACATGAAAGGGAAAACATAAGTTGCTTAAGGTTATAATTTATTTTCTGTTTCAGTTAATCTGGATTCACTCTCTTTTACTTATTGACACATATAATGTGTCAAATTTATCAAAGGAGACTGTCTTTAGATTTCAATGCTAAACTTTTTTCACAGAACTTCAAATAAAGAGTTTATGAAGAGTAATTTATGATAGAAGCAGCACAAATTTAAGCCTAAATAATTTAATCCTTAGTGCTGAAATAATAAATTGTGATTTTTTAAAAGTAATTGCCAACCAATTTAGTGATTAAATAATCACTAAATTAATCAATCACTCCAGGCTGCAGAAGATGATTTGTTGAGAAAACAATAAACTCAAGGCAGGAACTAAGTCACAGTTGTACAAAAAATAAATACATTTTGCATTTAAGATGAAAAACCTTCTTTACTTGTGACTATGCTATGTTTTAGTTCACCCGGTTCAAGTTATGTAAATAAAATAAAGTATTAAGCAACTTTTACTATCCAATTATTAATTAAAACAAAAACTTGTGAACAGATTCGTCCTAAATTGTATTGATGTGAAGAAAAGGCTGAACTTTCCACTTAAGAAGCATTTTGTGATACAAATAATCCTCTGTCCACCAAAGGAATGCTATATTATTGATTCTAATCAATGTTTATCAAAAAGCCATTAAATTGTTTATTTACATTTCTTAAAGCAAATAAAAGATGCAAATATTTTTGCACATTCTTCTGATTTTCAAATGAAAAATTTGCAGAATGTGCAGAGATAAACAGCAAATCTCTTCAGTTTTAATAAAAATAAAGAAGTGGCCCTTGTGTTCTCTCAATGTGTCCTTAATGACAACCACTGCTTTATATATTTGTAGCATTTTCTGTACATTTGCAATAATTTGTTATTAATTGAAATAACCTTGACCTTGACAGAAGTACAACAAATAAAATGTGTCCTGCATTCAGAACAGACTCATATTTATGCTGCCCCCCCCCCCCCCCCCCCCCCCGCTGTCGGAGCTAAAAGTTCCCGCTTGGCATATGTGGAATATCTGCAGCCTGAGCTAATACATCTCTGTTTACGTCTGAATGGCAGGCGACCTGCGGTGATGCATTTCAGGAGAAACGGACACTGGATGACTTCTCACATTTCTGACTTTTGGGATTGCAGCCACACTCATTATTCTTCCCTCCCCTGCAGGGCCCTGTCAACTGTTTAACACATCAGTCATTAGTAATGGAGGCCACTGGGGCAAAGTTAAAGGCCCAAATCATTTCTTCCTACTGTAAATTTGCGTGCCTGGTCTGCTCGGCCATCAGTCATTCCTCAGTTTCCATTGCTTGCCTCAGGGCACCTGCTGGGTAACCTTAAAGAAAAGCCAAACTATCAGCTGAAAACATCAAAAGTAAACAAAGAAAAGTCTTGAGTAATAGATTTTCCTCTTTGTGTGGCATCCATTTTGTCCTAAAATAAATGTTTTAACAGCAGTTCAGGAGCTCGGTGGAGACACACTGGAGAAGATTAATACAGGAAATCAACTTAACTTTACTCTGATGTATATTTGATACTCAGACACTGTGTGTGAACCGGAGAAAGCAGCTCTTCGAGCAAACTATTGAGATATTTTCTGCTCCAAGGTGACCTGTTATCTTTCCTTTAGCAGGTTAGGATAGGTCTGTGGTCTATACTAAACATATTAATAAAGTTTTTTGGGACAAATTTATTCTGAGATAATAATATTTTAGTCTGTTCAGTTCTGTCTATTTCACGTCAAAATCAAAGTTAACACTTGCACGATAGAATGGCTACAAAAAGATGTGCAATTATGCAACCGTACATCTTTGAAAAGTAGAAGTAGAGCCTCCTGCACAACCAACAAGAATGCAGCAAGTGGTTTCTGAATGATAAACGAACAGCCAAACAATTGTTGTCATTGTACGGTGGACACTGTGGTAAAACCACAGTATGCCAAACGTCCTGGAGCTTAGCTTGAATTGCTAGGTAGCGGCGCAGTGCCTCTTCATTGTGACTCAATAATCAGGTGGGTTTTGAAACACTTCATTTTCTGGACACCAAGAAAACTAACATTGGCAATACATTAAAACGTTAATGTATTGCCAAAAAACAGCTTGGTCCACATAGACATACAAAAACCTGCAAAAAGGGAATTTTACATAATAGGTCCAGTTTAATTATCTCATGTCTAATGTTGCGTTTAACAGATGGAACACCATGGGCAGTGTCTGGCAGCAGCTGGTACCACACATAATTTAGACATAACAACCCTCTTATGGCTGAATGCTGAGGCTGGATGTTGCTCCAAACTTTCTGAATCAGGATCAGAAGAGCTTGCTAACAACTGAAAGCTAGGTTACACGCATTTGGGAAAACAAATTAATTTTTATGCATTTTGACCATACATATGTATTTAGCCATTTTTGTGACAAATTTCTTATAAGCATGTTACATATGGAAACATTTCTCAAGAGTAGTCATGCATTCACAGACATAAAGAAGTAATAAATAGTTGTTATTGTCACTTTTGTCATTGTCACAATAGTATCAGAAATACTTGTGATTAAACTTTAAATCCATATTGTCCAACTCTTATAAATAACATACTGCGTGGATAATTTTTTTTGAAAGACCTGTACAGATTTATTTTAATTAATCTAAGCTTAATTTATTGTAGTTCAACTTAATGTATCTTGTTTTACTTTATCTCATGTCAGCTTAGCTTATTCTTTTAGCCCAACTTAGGTTGTCTAAGAGTTTGTAGTTTATAGTAACTTATTTTTTCTGGATTTAGTTTAAGTTATCATAGCAAACAAAGAAAAATTACTCTTTTTTTAAAAGGTCAAATCAAATTTTGTGAAAGATATAAATTTATACACCATTCATCTGCTGGATAGTTTTTCAATTTTGACACTTGTGTTTGCAAAATGTCTAATCCCTGATTTTAAATGTCACTGGTAATTGTTCCAACTGTGTGAAAGCAGATAGCAAATTTCAAGATTGATTTTAAAAGGTCAATGTATTTTACTTAAATTGTTTTTATAGTGGGTTGTAGAGCTGTACAGTTGGTAGCACTGTTGTCTTGAAGTGAGAAGATTCTGGGTTTAGATAAGATTTGTTTTACAGTTAAACAATTGAATATTTCCATGTCTTTCAAAATTTTAACAGTGTTTTGTTCTTATGTTATTATTCTTAGTCATTACTGTTTTTAAAAAAGCAACATAAAAAAATGTATGCTTTTATTTTGAAGGCACCAGCTCTGCCTCCTCTGTGTGTGTGTGTGTGTGTGTGGGGGGGGGTGTGTGTGTGGGTGAGAGAGAGTGTGTGTCAGCCCCACAGCCAGTAGTAGCTGCACTCTGTGTTCACATCATGTAGGCAACAGTTGAAGCATGGCTCTGCCGCGGAGCGCGCCGTAAACTGCGGCTGACGCACTCAAATAGTCCGCAGAAATTCATCTGGAGAGTAAAAACGGGATTAAAAGAGAATTATGGATGAATCAGAAAGGATGGAAACGCTGATCAGGTGAGTTCACTCTAATCTCCTGGCAGAATAATTAAAAGTTTGTACTGTCAGGTACATTTGGAGAAAGAAAAACTTTTATTTTCTCCTGATTTACTAAAATGAGCAGGAACGTTTTCAGATTTTTGTGATGTAATTTCAGATAATTTAATCACTTTAAATTCCACAATTAATCAGTTGTGTTTTCAATGTTGCCCCATTTATTCATTTATTTATTTTTCCACTAATGCTTATTGAGCATGCAGCTCACTGATCAATGCAGCAGCTGCAGGTTCAGAAATATGTACTTTGTTTCTCCTCCTTCTGTTTGCTGCATGAAAACACGTTGAGGCATGGACGCAACCTGAAACCAGATTCTGTTGGAAAAAGTAGTTCTGTCCACTATTTTTTAGATTAAAAAAAAGCTTTTATTAATAGTTTTAGCAAATAAGTGGAAAAAAAATAGGATGTCGCTTGGTCTTCATGGATTGTTGCTTCGGTAAACCAGATTTACCTGAATCAAATATTAGCAAAAAACAAAATAAAGAAAATACCTGCTCCTTAAGCACCAAACCTATATTTTAGAAAATGTTCTTACTCATTTAGATGTTTATTGCAAACCTTTTACTTTTTAATGTTGGTTAAATTGAGTGAATTTAATACAAACACGATTTGGTCTGGATAAATCTCCTGGCATATCAGTATTTCCCGATGTGAACGGACTAGTTTTGTTGCGTTTATTTTATATATTTTTTAAATTATTTTAAAGCATTTATTTGAAGCCAACTTGGTATTTTGTCTCAGTAAATATGATTCCAGATTCCAGCTCCAAAGGTAAGATGAATATAACTGTTTTAATAAATGTAACTGTGATATCGGCTCAGCCTGATGTAAGCAGACATCAAACATAACAAACACACTGTTGTCAGTTTATTGCATCTTCAGGGTCTGTTTCTTAAAATCTATTACTGAGAATGAAAAGTTTTGATTAAAATGATGAGCAAAGACGCAACTCCTTCTATTACTGGTAAAACTGGTCAAGTAGGCAACTGTAGCTGTTTCCAGTGACTATAAATTTGTCCACACTGGAATCATGAAAATAAATTTGCTTAATGAAAATAGCCAACTTTAAAAAAAAGCCTTCTACCTGTTTGATAGGAGGAGGTGTCTTTTTGGCTGTATCAAAAAGTGATCAACAACTGGATGTTACTGCTGGCGGAAATGACGAAGACAACGACAGGAAGTGGTAAGAATATGATGAGGAATCAGCACTCAGGTGGCACTGATGGAATGTGTCAACATATTGCCAAAGTTTAAAGACATCAGAATGACCTCACTGTTGGTGCCAGTCAATCCGGGAATAGTGCAACTATCTGTCCTAGAAAGAAAAAAATTAACAAGTGGAAAATATTTAGGCCAGCAGCCAATCCTACTGGAAGTGGACGACTCAGCAGATTCACAACAAGGTCAGAGCATGAAATGAACAAACCAGGCTCAGACTCTCCAGGCCTCAGTTAGCAGCTCGAATGTAAAATTTACTACAGCATAATTAGAAAATGACTGAATAAGTTATTTGAAGGAGAAGATCAATACTTTAGCATGACTCAGGTGCATATTAATGAAAGTAAAGATGTTTGATCATAATTCTCAGCGCCATGTTGGAGAAAACCAAACATACCAGCAAGAACTTCCTCCTGAGGCCAAATGTGAGGCGATTTGTGCGATAGATGACCCGTAGTCCTGGATATCAATCCTGGATTTCAATTGGTGCAGTAAGCTCAATGTAGTCACATTAATTATGATTATTGACAAAATTTACATTTTGAACATGTTTGTAAACCTATTTGGATTTCAAATGCTTCTAAAACCAACACAAGAAAAAATATATATTTTGGGAATCAGTGATTTCTGGTGTTGGCGGTATCTGGCAACCCAAGCAGAATTCCAGCACATATCAGCTGGTTTTACCTCTGTACAATGGCTGCTGGAAAAGACAGGTGTTTTGTTTTTAACTATCCATCCAGAAACCAGTCTCTGCATTCTTGTTGGTTGTGGAGGAGGCTCCACATCTGCTTTTCAAAGATGTCCGGTTGTATTTCTGCCTAGAAACTTAAGTAGGGGAGGTTGTGCCGAGCAGCAAATTATTAAGATTTAAAGTGACAGGAAGCACTAAAACACCTCATTCTGAAAGGAACTGAAAATAGGCAGAACCAATCAGACTAAAATCTCATTATCTAGGGTGGCTGCGGGGAGTGGCCATATTGAAACACAAAGTCCGCCTTACAAGTTGTAGCTTAGGGTAGTCTCAATTTCTCAGTGGAAAATTTACAGCAGCGTATTAAGAGTCATTGTGGATTAGATAAGAAGGAGGAGTAGATTTCCACAAAAAATCTCAGAGACCTGAGATTAGTCTTAGAAATTTTCGAGAGAAAACTTGGAAATTTCTGAATTTCTTTTGAAATTCAAAAATGTCAAAAACATTTTTAGCAAATTTGTCAGTTTTTTGGTGGAAATTGACTGTGCACCGTCGTAAAAATCCAGTTTCGGAGGGCATTCCAGTTGTTTTTTCCCACTTTGAAGTAAGAAAAGAACTGGAATGTAGTTTTGTGAAAACAGCAAGTCTTATAAAGGTTTGTCTCCATTTTCCTCCTGAGAAATTACCTTCAGACGTTTCCGTCCCCTGAGACACGAACAGGCAGCAAATGCCAGCAGGACATTTGCTGCCTTTGTTTAACAAGCTGTAACTGTGATGCTGCTGCTTTTTAAAATATGACAATGAAAAAAAAGCACAAATGGACCATGCAGATGAAAATCCCTCTTATCACTGAATCCCAAAATCCTTAAAGCGTCATAAAAATGTTAATTTGAGGTCCGTTATTTTCTCACTTGGAATAGTCATCAGTGCTGGTGAAGCATGCGGTGACGGGAGCCAATCAGAGTTCCTGACGCCTCGGCGTTTGCCAAATGTGCCTGTTGACCAGAAACTGGGAGGAAATCACTTCTTGTGCATGTGTAATGGAACAGAGAGTGGCAGCAGTCTGATTGACGGCACAATAGTGGAACTAGATTACTTTTCATTTCAAATCCACCTCAATTTATTAGAGGCAGCCATCGGGAAGCTGCCGTTCACTGTGTGTGTGTTTGTGTGTGTGTGTGTGTGTGTGTGTGTGTGTGTGTGTGTGTGTGTGTGTGTGTGTGTGTGTGTGTGTGCTCCCAGGCTGAGAGATAAGTAAAAAGAGCAATAGAGAACGTCGCAGAGTTTCAAAGTGTTGCATGCTGTATTAATCAGCTTTCAGCAGAATAAAACCCATCAAAACAAACGCTGTGCTTCTTTAAAATGTAAAAACCAGAAAGGAACCAGAAAGCCTTTTCAAGCTCTTTAAGTGTGAAAACTGTCTAATCAGATTCCTCTTCCTGCTATGCAGAATTTTTCTGGAGATGTGGCTGTAACATTATCAGAAATGCACTAGGAGGCATCAGAAGTGCATTAGGGGAAGAGGGGAAATCATTTGCTTTGCTTTGTTTCATCAGGTTGTCATGTCAAAAGGGTCTTAATGCACTTGTGAAGCGTTTTAAGGCTTTGAGTGCTGCATTTTAGGAGCCTGAAAGTAGATATGAATATTGCTTTTAATAAGGATCCATTGTGGGTCTCATTAGAGCTGGCTGCAGCTCTGACTTTTATGGGACTCTGGTTAGCTTTCCTTAAGTAACACTATCAGGCACTTTAACGACACATTTATCCATAATGAGAGATATGAAAAGAGTCATGCATGTTGCAGTCTTTCATACATTGTGACACCTTCCTGTTAGCTGCAGTTTTTGCCCTGAAACGGCTCTGAAAGCATTGAGCGTGCTGAAATAGCTGCACTTAACCTTGGGGTGATCATGCATCAGACATTTCAGCTGTAATTAAGTCAGATTCTTCCTTTCTGCTGAGAGTTTTTCTTTGTTAAGACCACACAGCTGACCTCCACTCAGCCAGCGGTTGCAAATATTAATAAGCCTTCTTCTTTTAAAAGGATTTCCCTCCGATTGTGCTGCAGCAATTTTCCACCAAGCCGGCCTTCTGAGGCCATTAGAGGACTTCCATGAAAATATAAAGAGACTCAGACCATTGGAAGGTTTTACCACACTTAGGGACCCCCTAATCATTCTGAATGAGAAATCATATCAGCAACTGTATCAGCAAAACGTTGCAAAAGAATGAATGCATGAATAATCTATGCCAGAAGATGGCCTGAAATGTCTTGTTTGATGAAGGCTGGTTGGTGTTTTCATGGATTCTGGACCTGAGACTTGAGACTTCCTAACTTGTTACCTGACAAAGCTTTGAAATAGTAACCCAGCCAAGCACTGACCTTTATGGGTTTTATTTTGTCATGTTACTGGATGCTGCACAAGTGGGTGAATGAACAGGTAGGAACCAATTGTAAAAACCAGGAAGTTGAGATACTGACTGAGGCAAAAGAGTAACATTAGAACATTTCTGGTTTTCCTACCAAACCCAAATAAACTGAAACTGAGTGAAATATGTTCCAAAGAATCACTTCCTGAAACCCTGCTGAGGGAGGATTGCTATGTTGTGTCACTGACATGGCAGGTATGGTTGAAATTAAAGTTTTAGCATTAGCTTCTGCTAAATAGCACTGTGTTAGCAGAACTAATACTAATATCCAGGGATTTAGGGCTAGAGCAGCTAACTTTTTAGTTAGCTGTGTCCACCACTGGAATGCAATAAATATCAGATCTGGCTATTATGCTACCAAAATGTTCAACAAACAGACAAATAAAGATGTTTAGATCCTCCACTCCAACAGGTTTCTGCATGGTAAAAGCTCCTCCTTTTACGTTTTGTTCAGAACTTGTTCAGAACTTGTTCAGGATGTTTTCTGATGAGCTGTCAGGTCAGGAGTTTCACATGTTGACAGTATAAACATTGAAACAAAATTCTTTACTCTATGAATATGGTGCAGTTGCTGCTGGTAGAAAACTGGAGGGAAGATGACAAAAAATATTACAAAGTTAGTCTAATTCATTTTTAATAAAAAAAATTTAAATTACATTTATTATTTTAAAATCTAATCTCTGTTTCAGTTATAAAATATTGGGTAAAATAATTGGCTGCCAGCTGAATTTATTAAGCTCGTTAAGCAATCGTAGCATAGCCAACAAACACCCGAAGATGAGAGGCAGCATTTATGCTGAAAAGAGAATAAAAGTTGATGCATCTTCCTGAAAATGAAGGTTTGTGTGTTTTGGTTGTTGATGGAGACGATCCTGAGCTCCAGCTTCCTCCTCAAACTGAAGGTTTAAAGCCCTGGACTTCTAATTAGATAAATGGAGATCTAAGGATCAGATATTTTGAAAATTGCTTCCAAAGTCTAATTTGTTATTTGTTTTTCTGTTTATGCGTTTACTTAAACTTGGTGTTGTCCCGTATAAAACTTTGACTTGAAGTTTTTGTCTTAGGAGCCCAAGAAGATTAAAGATTCCTGAGAGAATGTTAAAGTTTTTTACTGTCTATATCCAAAGGTGATAAAAGTGGTTTGAATTTCACATTGAAGGAAGTGAAACCTTTGGTACTAATAAGTTATGTTTTCCCTTTTCCATTTTTTCAGCCTGCGAAAAGTCTCTTGTATGGAGAAGATGCTAACTGGGAGTGAAGGGAATCGGTATTAATGCAGCCTGATGCTGTTTGCAGGTAACTGAGGTGTGTTTGGAAGTGTTGGGATAAATCCAGTTTTCTTACTAAATCACAGAAAACCAGAGGAATCCTAGAAAACAAGGACTGAGCAGGACTCAGGATAAACCAGTCGCTAGTTAAACCTTTCTAAAACCTCCTACATGAGAAGAAGTTCTCCAAATGAAGAAGAAGAAAACATGGCAGCAGGTTGGGGGTCACAGCTCTCACTACCCGATTCAGATTAAATGAGCATCGCCGTCGGTTATCAAACACGCAGTCATGACCCACAACCTCAGCTCCAGACTCGACACACCGACCAACATCTCCCTGAGCGCCGCCGTCGCCGTCTCCGACTCGCTGGAGTACAAGACGATCTCGGTGTTCCTGGTGCTGCTGGTGTGCTGCGTTGGCATCGTGGGGAACATCATGGTGGTCCTGGTGGTCGTCACCTCGCGCCACATGAGGACGCCCACCAACTGCTACCTGGTGAGCCTGGCCATCGCCGACCTGACGGTGCTGGTGGCGGCCGGGCTGCCCAACGTATCCGACAGCCTGACGGGAACCTGGATCTACGGGAACGCCGGATGTCTGGGCATCACCTACCTGCAGTACCTGGGGATCAACGTGTCCTCGTGCTCCATCACCGCTTTCACCGTGGAAAGGTGAGAGAGACGCTTGTTTTGATCCTTTAATGTTGTGAAACAAGTGGTTGAAGCAATCAGAGTTGGGTTGTAACTCAAGTACATTTACTTGGCAATTGTTTTTAAATTTACTTTTAAAAGTATTTTACTGCACTGTACTTTTTACTTTTACTTGAGCAATTTTATGATGAAGTTCTTCTACTCTTACTTGCAAAATTCCTGGATTTGTCTACCCACTGGATGAGAAACAAACATCTTTTAACCTAAAATTCACCAGACACAAACCTGCAGTTTTGTTAAAGTTTTATAAATCTTTTATTTAAAGAAACTGATTTTTTTTTACACCTGATTTTGTTATTTTTTGCAACTTATGTGAATTACTGTCATTTTAGTCCTTGAAATACCAGAACTTAACTTTAAAATGCAGTCCATCTGATGACGTAATTGTTAAACATTGATTGATCGATAATTTGATCACTTCAGTAAAAATATGTTGAAGTAGCGCGCCTCTTCCTGGAGTCTGATTTTTGGGCATTATGTCCGGCTCAGAAAACAACGCGATCGCCCACGGATGAGGCAAATGAAGTGGATACTCTGCACGGCGTGATAAATGTCAGGGTCTGAGGTATGAAAGATAAAAACAGGAGGTGTTCAGGTCGATGGCACTCAGCAGACCAGCAGCACTTTAATCATGAGAACTCAAACTGAGCAAGAGTTCAAAGGGTCATTCAGTGAAATGATCTCTTCTGATCCATTTAGCTGTTGTAACTTTTCCACATTTCAGTGACAAAGCTTTTTTAAATGTGTATTTATGACTTGATGGTTTTTAGGAAAATTGACTTTGTATAATAATTACGGTCACACTGTTATCATTGTAGTCTAATAATAATAAAAATTATTCATATGATGAAGGTTTGGACTTAAAAAGACCTGAAACGTCAGGCTGATATTATTTTCTGCTTTTTGAAGCGAGGAGGTCATGTGGAGTATTTCTGAGCGGTCAGTATCTTCCCTCTAATGTAACGGATTCTCTCAGTTTGGAGAATCAGGGGAAGTTCTGCAAAGATAAGGACTCAAATGGTCGACTTGGATCACAAAAACAAAGACTTCGGACTTGTTCTCTAAAAACTTCGAGTCTTGACTTTGATTTACCCTCTCAGAAGATGTTTTGGTTTATTGGCCCTCATGTCCTTTATTTGAATTGTTAGTTGTGTTGTTCATAAAAAGCACTTCCTGTTTGTCTGATTTAAATATTTTATGTTTACGGGTTTTGCTATTTTTCTTTGAGCTACAGATGTGGACGTCTATTATATACTTTCCTAAATAATTTACCTCACCTGAGCCGTAACATTTGGTTGCGTGTCAAGTGAAATGTCCTGAGGGAGATATTGAATGAACGTTTGTGTGATTATGTTACGACTCACTTTAACGTAGTGAGGGATTTGATTTCATAACGTTTCAGGGATACCAGATGGCGTGCATCCAAAGAGAAAATGTTTATTTTATTTCTAACCTCAGAGAGCTGAGTGTTGACTTTTATTATTAATTCATTTATTTTAATGTTAATATAAGAACAACAACAATAAATGTTAAAAAAGGTTCATTTTTATTATTATTTTGATTATTTTTTAGGACATTAATAGCAGATAAATTGCTTACATAAAATAAATAGATAAAAAACTATTATGATTGGTAGTGACAGTTGTATCATTTTATTTATTTATGTCTTAAAAATAAATAAATGAAAAATACATAAATAATAAATAAATGACAAATAAATGTTAATGTAATATTTAGGTAATTTGTTTTATTATTATTATTATTATTATTATTATTATTATTATTATTATTATTATTATTATTATTATTATTATTGTGGCATAAATGGTAAAGTTATTTAATTATTATTATTAATAATAATATATTATCTTTATTTCATGATATATTATATAATACATAATACGTATATTTTCACATATACTATATGAACAATTATTTTGTTAATAATAATAATATAATATCTAGAGGTGCTTCATTATTATGACAAAAAGAGCAAATATACTATATATATAGTTATCTTTTTTTTAAAAATTAAAACAATACTATTATTATTATTATAGCTTTTATCTTTTGTTTTCTGGTTTATTGTTTTATTTTGTTGCCTAACTTTTTCTCACTAAACTTTTAAAGCTGTATAATTCTGTTTTTGTCTTTTTGCGTACTTTCCCCCACATCATGTTAAATAAGACACTTATGATCCTGTTTTGACTCAAAATCTCTTTGTTTCTCTCATCCTATAACAGCGTAAGCTCTCAGCCTCAGCGCTTTTATTTTTAGACACCCACCTGCTAACATTTGCTCAGTTTCATTCCAGACTCTCACATCAGGTTGTGTTTTTAATAACAGAGTGTGGATCTGCTGAGGGCACTTCCATGGAGAACCTGAGAAATGATTAAACCATGAATCTCCTCACACACATCCAATCCCAATCCGCATTCCCGCCTCTCTGTGCTGCCGAGGCTCAACGGATTAAAGAAAAGCACCTCGTAATGATGTGACCTCTGTGCGCAGTTTCAGTTTTAACGCCACCTGTGTGTTCGGATAATGAAAGAAAAGGCTTCCGAACAGAACTCTGATTCTGCTGCATTAATGGCTGAGTGCACTAAAATGAGTAAAAAACCTGAACCTGCACATGCTTTGAACCTTGTTTTTACTCCTCACCTGCAGGTACATTGCTATCTGCCATCCCATCAAGGCTCAGACGGTGTGCACGGTGTCGCGTGCGAAGCGGATCATAACCGGCGTCTGGATCTTCACCTGCGTCTACTGCATGCTGTGGTTCTTCCTGGTGGACATTCAGGTTAGGAGATACTAGAAAATATCTGATTTTCTAACCATTTTGCAGCTCTGGATGGTAGAGATGAGCGATGTGGACCCAAGTCTAATTTAAGTCCATGTGGCAAATTTAATTTGTGATAACAGTAACAATAACTATTTATTACAGTTTTTTTTATGTAGTAAATTTATAACCGTGTTTGCATAGCAAAGGAATCATAAACCCTCAAACAGAGAGTTTTCTCTTTAAAAACAATCTCATTTGTAGTTTTGCATTTTCAAGTTTGAATTAGATTATAAAATGGCACTTCCAAGCACCAAAACAGAAAAGTAAAATATATATATTTTTTTTTATTTATTTTTTTACATTTTCAAAGTGGAGAGAAATAGCAACAGTAACAATCCCAGCAATGAACTATAAATCAAAATATCATCACGATCAGAAATTTATCGTGATAAATGATAAGCGATACAATAAATGCCCACCTCTTCTGGTTTGTGTACAAAAAAAAAAAAATTTATTTCACGTTTAGAACCGCTGAGTAGTTCTGGTTCTGATCCGTGGATCCGATCCGTGGTTCTGATCCGTGGATCCGCTGTGCGTCCCGTCAGACCTGTCAGGACAGCAGAGCTGCTTTGATCCGGTTGGTGCAGGTGCAGTGGCGACTTTCCAACCCATTTCTGTGAAGAGGTTGGGACTCAGGTGTCTGGCATTGAGTCAATCATCAGCAGAGCGACCGACGAAGAGCCACATTTATGAGATCAGGCAGGATGATTGTTTTTATTAGCTGAATCCATATCCACCACTGAAACCAGACATTTACATAAAGTACACTGTACAAAAACAGACAGATGCATTTTTCCAGAGTTGGCTAATAGAGTAACTTTCTTTTTTTAATTACTATTAGGAGTATTTTTACTACACTGTGCTTTTTACTTGTACTTAATTAATTTATTATAAAGTTTCTCTACTCTTACTTGAGTAAAATTTCATTCAGTGGGTAGAAAACTCACAGGAAGGGTGGAGCTAGTTTTTAAGAAAAGGATTAAAATATTTTTAGTTTTCATCTACAACACAAGTCTGCAACCTTTACAATAGAAAGACTAATTTTACCTTCAGTCCAGCTAAATAAAACTGGTTTAGGGCTGCAAATGTTATGACCTTTTTAAAAAAGACGGTTTATAACTTTTTTATTGGTATCTATCTATTGTATAAAATGCGTTGTGTTTCAGTTATGATCGTTTTAGTCCTGTTTTTGCATTTGGGTTTTAACGCAAAGAATGATTAAAGACATTTTCTTCTGTGAGATGTTGATATTGGTCAAAAATCCCTTAATGTTTATATGTTTAAACTTATTGTCTGTACAATTTGAGCTCTTGAAATAGAAGTCAAAGTTCACAGCCACACACATCCTTCAGTCCTCAACACGGCCGTTGAAGGTTCGAATCCCGGTCTACATGTCTTCCCTCATTCTCATTACCCTTCTTTCCTGTCCTGGCATTTGCAAATAAAGGCCAATAGAGCCAAAAAAACCATTAGAAGGAAAATATTTCTGTCTCTGAAAACAATCTTGGCCTGTATAGGATTCTGCAAAAGCACATAGTTTCCAACCTCTTGATTAAAAAAAGCCCTGAAAAATGTTACTACCTGTGCTGGACTGATTCTTTTGTTTTTTTAGTGCAATTATTTTATAAAAAATAAAAACCTGCATTTGTTTTTATATCTTTATTTCTGGTTGTTTTTACTGCTTTTGCCAAAGTTATTAAAAAACACATTAGTTTCACTTGGTTTATCCTGACCCATTTTTTGTGAAGCATTTTGCATGAATTGATTTGTTTGCAACAAATATAACATTTACCATGAACTCTTGTGGTAACGCATCATTTTATAGTAATGAATGAGTGGAAGGCTGAGACAAGCCTCAGGTTTTTGTTTACTCTGGCTAAACTAATGAGGTTGAACTAATAACACACAGAATGAGAGTGTGGGGCAGAAACTTATTTACACACTGCTGAATCACAGGCTTATTTACTCAGCTATTACAGGAAGATGCTGTGTTTTATCACAGACAGGAGTCCGCAGCAGGCGGGTGAAACATTTACGACCTGTTTTGTTCAAATGCTGCTTAAATTGCGGGCTGCTTAAGAGCCCTGAGCCTCGTCTGAGAGTAGTATTATTATGTTGAGATGTGAACCATTATTACATGCAGCTCCGAGCGCTGGAGCCGGTTTTGTTCTTATCTCCGTCACGTCTGTGTGTGATGTGCAGGTCGGCCAGGACGGACATGTGCAGTGTGGCTACCGAGTGAAACGGGAGCTCTACCTCCCCATCTACCTCATCGACTTCACCATTTTCTACGTCATCCCGCTGCTGCTCGCCATCGTGCTGTACGGCCTGATAGCACGGGTGCTCTACCTCAGGTAAAAACAGACAGAGCTGACAGAAATGCTGTTAAAATGACAGTTTATTCAATAAAGCTAGCAATAAAAATGGAAAAAAAACTTGCAAAAATAACTCTTAACACAATAAAACCTGAAATTACAACAGAGTATTAAAAATTAAAATAAAATCATGATAATGAAGTCGTAAAATTGTGAAAATAAACTCGCACACAAATGAAGTAGAAATAATAGAAGAATAAATTTGTTGTATTATGGGATTAAAGTCAAAATAATACAAGCTGAAAGTCATAATAAACTCATAAACTCTTCCAAGAAAAGAGCAGAAATAACATGAGAGTAAAGTCACAGAGTTGAGAATAAAGTTGAAATATTTTGACAATAAATTCACAGTAATACGAAAATAAAGTTCTGATATTATGACTTTAATCTCATTGTATCAATTATGCAGAAAAAACAAAAAACCCTCTGAAATGTTAAGTTGGCACTGCGCCGTTACCTAGCAACCCCAGTGGAATTCCAGCATCTTTGGCCAGCTGGTTTTACGTTGACATGAGTTTAACAGCGATTGATGCAAATGGTACATGTTTTGTTGCCAACTTACCATCCAGAAGTCAAAGATGTACGGTTCTATAGTTGCACATCTGTTTGCAGCTGTTTTCGAGTGTGAGTGAAAACATTGATCTGGGCGTCACCAGCAGCAGCTCATTTGGATTTAAAGTGACAAGACGCCCTGAAACAACTCATTCTGAAAGTAGAACTAACTGGACTAAAATCTCATTGGATGATTGGATAATTTTGTGCAAAAAAAATATCATGAACATGTTTTGTATAGCACATAGATCGATCCTATTATGTTCAAAGAAGCATAATATGCCACCTTTAAAATGTTATAGCCTCCCAAATGTTACAGTCAAGAAGTCAACTGCAAATACAGTTCTTCACTTACTGACATTGTGATGATCTTTGATCAGTTTGATACGCTGTGGAGCTAATTTGCGGTAAAATGGTAGAATATGGAAACTTTGTGGAAAACACTGGTACCACTGGGATTAACATGGTAGCACCACCATGCTGAACTGGTCAAGGGCACATTGACGTCTCCAAACGTCTTGTCAGAGGGGCCAAACAGTTTGACCTTTCTCATCAGACCGTGAGAAAGTCCAATTGATGTCCAAGTGATCACCAAATGGTCTGTTTTAGATTGGAACCTTCTCTGTCCACAGTGATGTGACACTTCCTGTTTATACTCACACTGCTGCTCATGAGGGTTTTCAGTGACCAATAAAGTCTATCAAGAAGGTCGTACCTCTGATGAAGCAGTAGCACCTTTCACAGACACATCTGGCCAGTTGTTTCCTGCTACGCTACAGAACCGCTTAGAACCAGACACTGCTAATTCACAACGCCTTTACCAAGAGTAATGAGCTCATCAAAGAGCCCTGCAGACCAATCACAGTGGCTTTGTCCCCTTTTCAATTAGCCCAAATCGAATGCAAATAATTAGAGAAACACCAATCAAAGTTTCAAAGTTACTGCAGTTGCGATTAGTGTCGCATTACCAGGACCTGATGCTGTTTGCTATCTGCAGTTGGAGGAAAACACAGGGATTCGGAAGATCCTTTTCCCTTTACATATTTCTTCTGTTTTGAAACTTTAAAGATGTGGTAACATTAGTCACAAATAACCTGAATAAAAGCGCAGTTGTGGTAAACCAGATGGCCTTTGTAAACAGCTAATTTCCCCTCAGATCTAATAACTGGTATTTCCTCCCTCGGCTGTAACTGCTGAGGTCAAGGGCTTGCAATACCTGACGATAACCCCTTTAAATCGCTACGGAGAACTGTGGCCCACTCTGCTTTGATGAACTGTTTTGTTTCAGCAATGTTGCCACAGAATCTCAACCAGATTTAAATCCTATTTTCATTCAGAGGTGGAATAACTGGTGTGCTTGATTACAAGATCTTCTCCATCAGGATTTTCTCCTCGAAAGAATTTATGTTTCCATCATCGTCCAGGAACGATGGTTGCATTCACGTTTTTGTGTTTAGTTTAGGGTCATCATTGTTTTGCTTCCACGCCAGTAAAGCTCCTGTATTTGGCTGTTTGTGCCTCTCCAGCCCTCTGCCGAGCCACACCGAAACCAGCGCCACCACACTGCGAAGGAGCTGTCGCGAAACATCGCTGGCCGCGAGGACGGGCCGGCAGGGCCGGCCCAAGACGCCGGTCTCCTCCAGGAAACAGGTCTGAGCCTCGTTAACGTTTGATCCCTCTGGTAATTGCTGTTTTAGTTAAACTCGACCCGGCCCACGGGTTCTGTTTGCCAGCCTGATGATGATGATGTCAAAGCCCTTCGCTCTCTGAGAGAAGTCGTCTCATCAGCTGTCGGTCCACGGCTCTGCAGGCAGTCGTGATGGTTTCTTTTCTTGATGCTGAAGCTTTTCATGGTAGAAGCTCTCGCTCTCCCAGAATGAATAGTTTTTCTGGACAGCTCTGTTTTCTCTGCTGCTTTTCTACCTTAAAAGTGTCGTCTTTGTTTAGTATTCACATTTTGTTTCATATTAATCTGCTAAAGCAAACAGTTTTCAGACCAGTGGTATGAATCTGTGACCCTGTGAGGTTTTGCAGTAAATCAGAAGTAGCTTCAGTTTTGTGAATGTGTGTGAGACTTTCAGCTCGTCTGGAACCAGAGCTTCTTCCTCTGCAAGGCGAAGACGTCTTGACCCCACTCCTGATATCAAACTGTGCCTTGAAGCAGGCAGCAACATGTTTTTAGCAGCGCTTTGATATCCAGCCTCCTCCTAACAATCTGCACTGGGAAGCAGAAAAAAAGGGCTGAAAGATGAGCAGCGGAGAGCGCGGACTGTAATTTTCTGTCAGCCTGGGCTGCCACAGCTTGATCCCTGGATTCATAACACGTCCGAGTCAAAACGACTTTGTCATCTTGTGTTTGCAGAGTGGTATAATTTCCTGCATGTCTCCGTTTTGGGGTCAGTCTGGGTTTCTGTGTGGACACATGAAAAGCTAAAAGCACTTTCATGCCTCTTGACACAAGATTTCCTCAAACAAACCTTTTTCTAAAGATCCACAACTATCAAATATCACCGTTTGGATAAATGATTAATCAGATTAAACATGATTAATTGATTGTTTAAATAACTGTCAACTAATTTAGTTCTCAATTAATTGTTAACTGGAGTATAAAGACTCAAAAAAAGAATTAAACACTCAGAGTAGTAACTAACCCAAAGCTGTACAAAATTTAGACATTTTGCAATTAAGATGAACAAACAAAACTGTCTGTAAATATGCTCTACTCAAAACTCCTAAAGTAATATAGTTTTAGCTTCACCTGGTTCAAATTCCTTTAAAAACTCATTTTAAACACGTTTTGCATCCATTTATTAATTGGTTAATTCCAAAAATTATCAGCAGCCCAAAACACATGACTTTGGTTAATTGGTTTCTTTAATTGCCCTCAGGATGCCGCTAGCGATCATTTTAACGGTTATATGATTAATCCCACAAAAAATGATCATTTAAGCCTTTTTATATGATATTAGAAATACATTAAAAGATACAAATAAACCATTAAATTCCCTTTCTAAGTAAAAAAATAAACATTTTACTGTATAAAATGCAAAAACTACATTCTTATAGTCAATGCTTGATCACTTGTAGCAAAAAAAAAAAAAAGTTTTGATAACGTGAAAAACTTGACATCAAATCAGTGCAGGGGTAATCGGTTGATTTGTTTTTATCAATCAAAGGGTAGCAAAAGGTGATTAAAAGTAGATTTTTACAGAATTTGAACCAAGTGAAGGTAAAATTGTCACTTGAATATGTATAATATTTGTGGATTTTTGGCTTAATTACTATTTTTTTGAGTTTTTATACTCCAATTAATGATTAATTGATCACTGAAATAGTTGACGATTATTGGAATATTTGATTCATAGTGATTAATCGTTCCAGGCTGTGTGTTTTGGTGCTGATCCAGGGAATCTGGTAAGCAGGTGAAGGTGTTGGATGTTTAGCAGCAGACGACTGCCTCTGCTGCTAAGACACTGCCTGGATCCAGGACATTCACAAACGAACTACAATGACAGACACACATTCAAATCCACGAAACCAGCGGGTGTTTGTTGGGAACATGGAGAACCTGAAGAAACTCTGTGAAAACACTCGGACACTGCAGGGTTCCTACTCGTGGTTTATTTACAGTCAGATATTTATTCACAGTGTCAGCTCTGACACTAAAGAATCAGAGACTCACATGGCTTTGACACAGCAGCCCTGCAGCTGCCGCTTCAAGCCGGAGAGGATGTTAGCCGTTTGTTAGCAAAGTTATATTTACCTCTGAACCAGAGGAAACCTCCAGCGGATCCGTCACGCTCTGCCAAACGCTCTCAGTCCGCTCTGACCCACAGATGGTGCTCAGGGCGCCTTTTAAAACCATCAACCTTGGATTTTAATGGCTGCTGAGTGATTCGCCTGCAGAGTTTCTGTGTGTCGGCATGAAAACAGGCTGAACCTGACGGCGGAGGAGATCCTAATCTTGTGTGTTTAAGGAGCTCCATGTGAGAGCAGAAGATTTACATAATGAGAGAAGAGATCTTAATAAAGCCAATGAGTTCAGTCCTCCATTTCTTTCAAAAAGGCACTTCATGCTTTTTCATTCTGTTTGATAGGCCAACTCAATCTGATGGGGGTTTGATAAACTGCACTGAAAAATAATGACCCCCTGCATGATTGGAGATTAATGCAGAGTTTTGATCTCTGAGGGAGTTTTCCGTGCCTGATCTCTTCATTGTGTGTCGAGGAAACGTTGACAGTTGGTCGCCGCTGATAGCATCCGATGCTCATTTCACTCAGATGCTTAAAAACAATTAAAACATTCAGTTTTTAATTCGTTTACGAAAAAGTAGTGAAAGTTCACAAACGAAGCATGATTTTAGGTTGGTTTGTCCACCAGTGTTACCTTGAAAAAGACTAAGCTGCATGTTAACAACCATATAGTTATTTCACCTGCAAGCACAAACTACTGTGTTTGTTTTGGTTGTATTTACCCAGAATACCCTGCGCTCTAGTCCACTTACTGCTTTTGAAACGCACCAGAGTTCACTTCAACCGAAAAGAGAATGTAGCAGTTTTGGTCCACAAAGGAACCGGACAAACTGACGGGATTAAAGCGGATCAAACATGGCTGGTGTGAACAAAGCCTTGTGTTTCATCACTGCAGGTGTAATTAAGAGGCTACGCTCTCCTCTTCCTCCTCCTCCTCTTCCTCCTCGACTGCAATTAAACAGTTAATTGTTTTCCGTTATCTACCTGCCGAGATGGCCTCGTTTGGCTCTCGGCTTCCCACCTGGACCTGGACGCTTATCTCGAATAGCATTTTGCTGAGAGAGGGCGTTGACGTGATGCTGTTTTCCAGGCTTTTCTTTCCGATCAGGTGTATGAAGCACGGAGTGACACGCTCCGGCAGAACCGGAGAAAGGCGCACCGACGGGACGGAGGAAGGCTGAGGGTGTGCGGCATTATTTCTGACTGATAAGACTAATCACCTGAGCCGTACAGGCTGACTGACTCCATCCCCTCCCCGTTGACCCGCTGTCTCGCAGCGGCTCGGAAAAACGTCTGAGCCGTTGCCATGGTCACCAGACAGCGGCGATGTTAAGGGGGGTCACGGCGTGCAAAGGGATGTCGCTCACTTGCAAAATGTTGAGGCTTTGCAACATTTTTCCACCGGGGAGGAATGCCTAATGTGCTTCTGTCTGAGTGCTGTGGCTCGTTTGCCATTTTGACATGAAGATTAAAGAAAATGTCAACAAAAAAAGGTCGTTTTTGTGGCATTTTCACAGAAAAAATCTGAACACGTTAAATATTTATTCTGTTGGGCTTTCCAATGTTTATCATAATGGAAATTACATTTCAAGTTTTCAAGATGAACACGACGGTTGTCAAGGAAATACAGTTTTGTACTAAGAATCAAATCAAATGTTTTGAGCCACAGAAACCATATATTTTATTGATCTTCTGTTTCCGTTTTCTGATGGACCTTTTTCAAAATGGCCGCCATGGTTGTAATGGATATTATGTTTTTACTAAAATTGACAGTTACCACCTAACCAAAAAGTTAGGTTCATTAAAGGCTAATTTGCTATTCAAGAATTTTAGCTATGCTAACAATAAACGGATAAATACATAAAAAATATAATCAGACATGAACATTAAACTGCTAAACAAGTGATAAAGACAATCAGGAGCAAACAGATAAAAATATTAGCCTCCCGCTCCAGCTGTGCTGCCTGGACTTTGGGAATTATTTGTGTGCTATTCATCATTAAAAGCATCATTTCAACCCATTTTGCCTCACCGCCTTCACTGCACCTCATGACAGAGACGCTGAGAAAAGTTGCTTTAGTTTGGTGCAGGAAGTAAACAAAAGTTTTCTTAGCAACTTCCAACAATATTTGCGGCCTGCTGTAAAAAAAGTATTTTAACTGAGAACTTTGTAGTTCAGGAAACAGCACCGTCAGAGTTGTGTGCGAGTGTTTTAACGAGCTGCCCGTTAATTGGACTTTCAGATGCGTGTTCAGTGTCTGTCCTGCCTCCCAGAGCTGCTGTTAACCTGCAGTCAGGATGTGGGAACAGCTCAGAGGTCAAGGGTTGATTTTAATCCCTGCATATCTCCATAGCAACCAGGGAGAAACTGTTGTTCTGCTCAGCATGGAAAAAAAAGGTGATGAACAGGAATCTCTCTCCCATTCCTGGGTTCCATACAATGTTTGGTAGTTAGACTACAGAGTTTATGATGTTCCTTCATGGTGGATTTATTTCTAGACTTCAATCTAGATTTTGCAGTAATTAAAAGAAAAAGAAATCACCAAGTGTCGCCAACGAGTTTTGGCTTGGAGGTGTATCATGCAAGCTCATGCACACCTGCAGAGACTGAACAAATTACAACGGATTTCATTAATAAGACGTTTTTCCCATTTCATAAATGAAATAATCGTCCACTGGAACTAGTATTTTTTAATGAATATTCAAAAATTTGTGATGCAAAACAAGCTTCTATATCTTGCTGAAAAGTTACTGGTGAGTTACTTTTGCTTTATTTTAAAGGTGATCTGCTATCCTTTATTGGACACGTTAGGTTTACAGGTGATACAAAACATGTTCATTGCATGTTTTGCACACAATCATTCTTGGATAATAAGATCTTAGTCCTCTCAGCTCAGATCTGTTCAGAATGATCTGTTTCAGGGCGTCTTGTCACTTTAAATCGAAATAAGATGCTGCTAGCCGCACTCGTTGTGAAAATGGCTGTGAAAAGCAGAAGTAGAACACAACCAGCAAAAATGCAGCGATTGTTTTCTGGATGGTAAGTCAACAACGAAACACTTGTCTTTTCCAGCAGCCATTGTACAGCACAGACAGCGGCAAAACAAGCTGACCTTATATGTGTTTGAGCTCGACTGGGGTTGCTAGGTAATGGGTGGAACTCTGCTGTGGTTGCTAAGTAACCGGCGGAACTCTGCTGGGGTTGCTAAGTAACCGACGAAACTCTGCTGTGGTTGCTAAGTAACCGGCGGAACTCTGCTGGCGTTGCTAGGTAACCGGCGGAACTCTGCTGGGGTTGCTAGGTAACCGGCGGAACTCTGCTGGCGTTGCTAGATAACCGGCGGAACTCTGCTGGGGTTGCTAGGTAATGCCATAGTTCCTGCTAGTTTGTGCCGTTACATTTCCCAGGTTTTAGAAACTGGTTGTTTTCCAGAAACCAAAAAACATTAACATATAGCCCCAAACCAGCTTCGTGTTTTGTCTTTTTCATAAAAGTACAAAAACAAAATGTTAATTTGGCACAATATGAAGTTTTTGCTTTTGAAATGACAGAAAATACTTGATATGAGTTTGTGTTTTTTCAGTAAAGTTGTTTTCCTGATGTTCCTCTCTGTTTAAAGACGACTGAGCAAAAGCTCTCAAGCTTCTTTCTGGTGATAAATCCGTCATCTCCTGGTATATTTTGGACCTGTTAGGTAACTTACGTACTCCGTAATATACTTTTCAAATGTTTTAATTCTCCCTTTTTCTTTCACACAAATCCCACTTCGTATCACTTGTCTTTGTCTTTATTTTTCCAATGACTCAATTACCCAATGAGCCTTCATTAACCCCCTCAGAGCGCACTCAGAGACACACAAAGCATTTTAATAATTGGTGTCAAAATGCTCCACGCAGGCGAGAACTCTGTCTGCTCGTGCTTCCTCTGACATGCTGATGATTCCAGTTATCACGAAGCAATCACAGCTAATCGCAGAAATTAGAACGACACCATCAGCTCATATTGGACCGGTCCTTTGAGGTTCAGCGCTCACTGCATAGTTGTACATTCATTGTGCATTTCAATGGCTGCGGTTGAATAATTCAGTGATTGTTTGGGGGGGAATTATTTACAGTTTTTGTCCTCTGAGTTTGTTTTCACCAATTTTAGAAAGAAAATCTTTGTATTCTACAATCTGTTTCCGCAGCTAGCTGCCATATTAAATGTTTTCCTCTTGTGAATAATCTTTCTTACTGGAGAAGAAGTTTGCAAATGACCCTGTAAGAATCAACCGGTGTTGTGCTAACACATATTTGATTCTTCAGAAATACAAGTAAGGAAAAAAAAAGCACAATAATTAATTATTATTGTCTGGTACTAAATATTAGTATAATTTATTTTATGTTTGAAAACAGGGGCTGCCTGGTGGTGCAGTTGGTTGTTTCTGGTTGTGTCTTAGGTTTAATATTTTCAGTTCTTTATGTTTTCTCTTTGTTTGTCTCTTCAGACTTCACACCTGTTCATAATGTGTTTATCATCACACCTGCTGTGTATCCAGTTATTTTATCTTCCTGTAGATATTCTCTCCCTTTCTCTCCATTTTTTCTTCACTTTTTGACGTCATTCGAATGCTCATTCAAAAGTGTCTTTTTTGGTTTCATGTCAACAATTTTCTGATAATTAGCTGAACATGCTCATTTGTAACTGGGGAAGTATAAAAGGTTTAATAAGTTTCTGAAAAATTTCAGTAATTCAGATTACTGATTGCACTTTATTGATGCTTTGTGAATAAGACTGTCACAACATGGTCATAAACGTAACATGAACCTGAGTAAGTCTTCATCAATATTTATGACTGCTGTCATTTAGTGTCATCCGGTAAATCATGACACTTTGAATACAAAGCTGTCAAAATGTCTTTGTTATGAGCTTTTCGCTAACAGATCCATCGGTTTTAGACTTTTTAAAATGTGTTTACCCTGCAGGTGACGAAGATGCTCGCCGTGGTGGTGATCCTTTTCGCCCTGCTGTGGATGCCCTACCGGACCTTGGTTCTGATCAACTCCTTTGTGTCCACACCTTACCTGGACTCCTGGTTCCTCCTGTTCTGTCGGACCTGCATCTACGCCAACAGCGCCATAAACCCCGTGATTTACAACGCCATGTCTCAGAAGTTTCGCTCCGCGTTTCGGGGGCTGTACAGCTGCCAGCGAGTGGAGGGGAACCAACGGATGCTGTCCACCGCCCAGACCTGCCTTGGTACCGTTCGAGACCCGAGGCCTGCCCTGCAGAACAGCAACCAAGTCGATGAAAAGGAGACGCGGGCCGTCCTGGAGCCTTCCTCGAATTCAACGTCAAAACTCCACAGGAGCGAACATCAGGAGATGGCGGCGGTGAACGGGATGACGGCAGATCATCGACCCGACGGCCAGGAATTAGATCAGTCGGTTAACAAAACGCTTGGTTCTGCAGACAAAACCAGTCAATAATGTGAATAATGTAGATACATTATGTACCATGTGAATATACTCATCTACTCATATATATATATATATATATATGTGTGTGTGTGTGTGTGTGTGTGGGTGGGTGTGTGTGTGTGTGGGTGTGTGGGTGTGTGTGTGTGTGTGTACAATTTTAAGAGGGTGCAGATTTTTTTTATTTAACTGTATTTAATAACACTCAGAAAACTTATATGTTACAGTAGTATTGAAGATGATCATGGTCGCTGGGAGATAAAACAACTTTTTTTTATCAGTATTCTGACTTTAATCTGATCAAAAGTCAGAGTTCTGAGATAAAATTGAGTATTGTGAGAAAGAACTGCAAAATTCTGAGAAATAATTAAAAAATTTTGAGATTAAAAAATGTTAACAATCAGATTTAAGTCAGGATTCTGAGAAAAAAATTCTTAATTCTGAGATTCAAGCCAGAATTTTCTTTGTCATTGGCCCTAATCTTCTTCCGTACAATAGATTAGTAAAAGCCAAATTTTTGTATTGAAGCTTTATTTTTAAAAGAACAATATCTGTGTTTCATGACTTTCATTGAGCAATTAACTCATAATTGGGTGATTATTAAGTTCATTCTGAGGCCCATTAACAGTTTAAATGAGTAATAACATCTGAAGGACTTGCAGTTGTTCAACACCAGTTTTTCCTTAAATATTGTATTTGTGTTTTTATTTTGTTCCCAATATATTTGATGTGTAAAATAAAGTTATGAGGGAAGAAAACTGCTGCTTTAGGAGTCTTCATCCCCTTCAAAATAAGAGCATTAGTATAAACAACTTTATTTAACTGGAAGTTTACAAAACAGCTGAGTAAATTAGGGCTTTAAAATTAAAATTCGGGGAGTTATGTGCCGTAAACATTTTCAAAGTTAGCAAAAACTCTAAAATGCTAAACAAACAATTAGCTCTGCAATTAGCACATTGGAGAAAGTGTTCCCACCTCTGTAAATTTTTGTATATATTTGTCTTTTACTTTACTTTATTCACCTTTTAATGAAAGTTTAAAATAGATCAAGAAGTAACTTAATCAACTTTGTTCAGAAAAAAGTACTTATACATGTTTACTGACCTTAAACACATTAAATACAGCCATAATGTTTTTCAGTGTTTTCACCGTATTTTGGAGTGAAAAGAAAAAATATATATACTTTCTGCAAATGGTTGAAAATACAGTTTCTAGGGACATGTGTGGAAGCAAATAATGTAAATAAATATTAAAATGTTAAGTGCAAAGACAGTTTTATGTGTTGTAATGAAGAATGCCAAAGCAAAAGCGTGGAAACACACTTTACAATTCTGTTTTATTAATATTTCAGGATTTTTTTGCTGCTTATTCCAAAAACTACACTATCAAATCTGCAAAAAACAAATCCTGACAACCTAAATTTAGTAACTTTTTCAGATTATATTACGATATCTTCATCATTTTGTTATTAAATGTCCTAAACATTCTTAACATTTATTTCTTATATTATTATGTTGCAGTGAAACAGTTTCTGATTGGATAAATATTTATGAGTATTATTTGCTTCCATAGCCGTGTCCCATCAGTCAGCGTTCCCTTTAATAGTCGATGTCCATCACCTCGTCTCCCAGCAGACTTATACTTTTCTAATGTGTGTATTTTAACGTGTGCAGGGATATTTCCTTTCTGCCGTCATATTTGGTGTCTCTGATGGTTTTCCTCCTATTATTCAGTCACTTTAAGAACCTTGTTACCTTTTTCGCTTTTCCTTTTTTGAAGGTAAAAATGCTGGAAAGATGGACTGTAGATTTGAAGCTGGAAATTAGAGACTTTCTTTAGCAACTTGGACTTATTAGTGTAAATAATGTACAGTGATGTTTCTGTTTAATTATCTGAATGACTGCATGTCCACCGACCCTGCTGGTGAGGTTTATAGTTTTGTAATAGTCTGTGTGTGTTTGTGTATGTTCATCCTCCAAAATGTTTGCCTTGCTACAGCTAAAAAAAATACAGATTTATATATTTAGTTGCATGATAAAGAGTATAAAATCAACTTTCCATCAACCGCAATTATTTTTTTTAATAATTCAAAACATTCTTTGAGTTTTAGGCTGAAAAATGTGCATGAAAACTATTAGCTAAATTAAACTGAATATAAAGGTGCATTCAGAAAACATTAAAACAAAGTAAAAGAATGACAAAAATACCTGATTACTTTTAATTCATTATTAAAATCTTGTTTTTTTTTCTTTTTACCTTAATAAATAGAATAAGCTTTTTGGGTTTCCTCAGGTTATCTTTGTGTGATATTAACATTGTGTTTGATCGTTTTAAACATTTAGGTGTGAACGAAACTAAAAGTTCACAAATATATACATTTCTTTGGTATTTTATCACATTCCCATTATATCCAATTCTTATCCTGAAGATTTATTGAATCGACAAGAAGTAGTACAATTACAAATAATGGAAATTAACTGAAGTTGTAATGACTGATTATATAATTTTGTGAAATGTGTTGGTCAAACATAAGACCTATTTTATCTTTCAGTTTTTCAGGTACAGAAATTGTTCCTTTGGGGGTTTTATGCACAAACAGAGAACATGTAAGGGAAAAAGGCAGTTCCAAAATAAAAGTGTAAAAATGCTTCCAGTAAGGTTGTTGTTATAATTTGGGGTATTGAATTGTTTTTGAGGATGTCACAAAACAAAACGATTCACTATTTTTGGATATGTAGCATGTAATATGTCAAATAAGTTATTATTCTCCTTGTGTAAATTAAGAAGTACACAGTTTCAGTTTCTTCCTATTTATTTCCCAAATCACCTTTGTGTTTTGTTTAACTATTTAAGTTCAGATTATTTTTATCTTTTTGCTTCAATTTAAAATCATAAAAATAATTTACCAAAACATCCCTCAAATCTATGAGCAGCATTTTAAATGAGCTGCTAATGCCTGATTTTTATTCACTTGTGTGAAAACTGATTTTATTAATTTCACTAAATGATGTCCTATAATGCTCATGTTTCTGTCTTTAAAAGGAAAAAGCTCTGCTACTTGGCCAACTGTCCTCACCGTAAGTTTAAGCTGCTCATGCGTTTCACTTTAGCATTGTTAGCTTCCGCTTACAGGCAGTTTATAAAGCTTAATGCAAGTTTTTGCAGACCTTCAATTAAATTAGCATCGTTTGCATTAGCAGCGTTTTTATTGCCATGACTGCCATCAGCTTCATCCACTAAACTTTTGGCATAGTTTGTAATAGCACTATTAGCACTAGCAGTTAGCTTGATTTGTTTTATTGGCAGTTTGGCCCAATAAAGCAGCATCTTTATGACAACCATTAGCATTATCCAACACATGTCATACTGTCACTGTTAGCACTGTTAGCATCGGTGGATAGCTTCATTTGTTTTATTCATTTTTCTTTAAGCTTTGATTCTTGCCTGACTGATATTTTGATTGCTAAATAAAGCAGAAATATTTTAAAAAATGACATGCAGCTGATCGAAAGGGATGAATATGTTTGGGGAAATAAAGAAAATAGAAAAATGGGATTACTGTTAGAAATATTGAATGGTGCAGTAAATTATTTGTTAACTATTAGGTTGTGATTGAGAGCTATTATGTTCTCTAGAAAGAAGTATTATCAATCAGAGCTACCAACATTAATTTGTTTATTTGTGACTACATGGACAGATGCAGATATATGTTTAGTAGTATATTTTTATGTTCTTTCAGTTTCAGTCTTTCATAAATTGCCTCGGCCTGAAAAACAAAGCATTTGCACCTCTGGTACCATTCCTGCTCCTTTTTCTTCCTGTGTTTTTAACTTGTAATGTGTTTTCTGACACTTGGTGTAAATTTACAAGGATTATTTGGTGTAATGTGTGTGAAGTTGTGTTGATGTGTGCGGACTGTTCACAGGGAGATTTTTATAAATAAGTTGCAACATAAAAAAAAAAAATAATAGAAGCCTGATGTTTGTATGAATCAGCCACAGAGAGAGCAGGAAAATAAGAAAGTTAATGATAACTAAATCAGCCAAGTGATTCAGCGCTGAAAACCCACTCTGTATTGGATATTATATGTTCTGTTTCTGTATAATTAGAATGTGTGGATGTTTGAATGTAGTTCTGTAATTATTTGGCCCTGGAGAGCTGCTGGTTTGATGTGTTCTTGAATGTGCTGTAATCACAGATTCCTTTAAAGTGCTTTTGGTTTTTAAAAGTGTTGTCTTTGTTGTTGATGTAGGAAAATGTTTGATTGTGTGAAGAAAATTGCAGCGTGCTCTGCTCTGTGGTGCAGTACAGTGGCTTTCGTTCGGCATCTTCACAAAATATATTTTTTAAAAAAGTTTAAGTGTTTCTAAGTTTTTTGTGGTGCAGCTTTATTTTTAGCCATGTAAAAATGAGACAAAATCCATGAAAGATTGAGTTATTTATAAATAAATGTTTGCATACTGCATCCATGTCTCATCTTATATTTTATAAAAGAAAACAATTTTTTTCTTGCTTATTCACCAAAAACAACATATTTAAGCATAAATATGTTTTTTTGGACCATTTGTTAATGCTCAGTTTTGGGTCAGTTTGATTTTGCAAGGTTCAAATAAGGAGAATAACTTTATTTAATTTACATAAATATTTCCCCTGGCTTCGGTACATTTGTGTCAATGTACATTAATAAGTTAAGTTCATTGTATTTGTTTCCAGGGCCGTGCAGAGACCTTTGGAGGGGCAGGGGCTTAAGCCCCCTTAATCAAATCACAGTCTTGTCTCTACTTACTTTAGGATTTCAGTAGCAACAATCCTTCCTGTTAAAATGACATCGTCTGTTACGAGAGAGAACTGAGAATAAAGATATCTAAAATACGTTTTCCTTCCTTTACCACGTTGCAGAATTCTTTCAGTAAAGTACAGAAAACGGAACGGAAGACAGGAAACGGAACTGCAGAGTAAACAGTATCCATTGACTTCAAAATAAAAGCATACGAACATTTAGCTACTTGAAGCAAAACGTCCAGTCTGATGTCAAACTTTATTCAACTGGAAGTTTATAAAACAA